CTGGCATGAACATATCTTGTCAGTAGCAGCAGCTGCTGGGAAAAAGCTAAGCTATTTGTTTTTGGGCTTCTCACTCTATAGAAGGCCCAGAAAAGGCCTAGCCTCGAGCATTGCTCACACGTTTGGAGTGCCGCCGCCCCCGACTATGCTCGATGTTGTCCAGAGAAGGGCTGTCCGACTGATCGATGACTCTTCTCTAACAAACAGCTTGGGACTCTTTCACACCGGCGGCCGTCGGTCATCAAGTTCTCTTCTACCGCTCAACAACGAACTTTGCTCCTCAGAGTTCTCTTCCATGATGCCGGCGCGCGATGTGACTGCCATACAGACCCGTCTGCTTCAGTACATAGAAATGACTACAGTAAAAGCTTCCTACTTCCATTGTGTGTTGGCTGGGGAGATAGCGCAGCATAATCACTAGTTGCGTTCGGCACTTGAAAAGGCTTTAAGTGTTATAAAGGCGAACTTTAATTTAGTTACCAATGTAGCCAAAAATGTTGCTGGAAATCGCCAGCGGACAAGTGCAGGAACAAGTCGCTAAAGCATACAGAAAACCGCTAAGTCTTGCAATAGTGTTGTTTTGTCCAGATGACGTCACTCAGTCGCGACTAGGAGAGAGATGGAACATTGTATTCATACCGATCGGTGCACGAAAATAATTGAATGACCCAGCACACTGCAAGTGTGGAAAGTAATTTTTCGCAGGTACCAAAAGGAACCAAGGAACAGTCAAATAAGAATTCCATCTGACACGCATGAAACATCTGTCGAAATCAGGTTTTAAGTATTGTAGGAAAATGTTTTATCGATATCGATGAATTTCTAGAATATCCAAAGGTCTGAAAAATCTTTGAAATATATGAAAAATCTCCAGAAGATATATAAACATAGCCAATAATTAAGCGAGTCAAAAGCCTTTCGGAAGCAAGTATCGAGAACCACAGGCTCCAGAGGTGCGGGAAAGTGGAAAATCTCTGACATGTGAGGCAGCTTGAAGTGAAACGAGATTATAACTGAGAAAGTGGCCAAAATAGAAGCTACCGATATCAGCCTTGTGTGGTCTAAACTGTAAAATATTACCAAGCTATTCAATCGTGTTTTCTTTCAGTGAAGCCAGTGTTGGGCTGGTGCATATTCCAAATTCTTATAACAACCAATTTATATACTCATGTATTTTTGGTGCACATTTTGAACTAGTTTTTCACTCAGTGTAGAAACATACAGAACTGAAGCAACTCGAGCTGGTGTTGTCCGCCGTCTTCTGCTTCAATTTCCATCTTTGAGTGCAGCCGTGCTATTTGCTCGTGGTTTACTGTTATCTTTTTCGATGATTCATCATAGTAACACGGAAAATGACAAAGAAACGGAAAATATGCTTCATTGACAGATTACTGCACGCGACATGACATGGGAGTTGTTTAATGTTGTTTTGGGATCAACATTAGGATCAAAGGTATTAACTAAGGTAGAGTATATTAAACACAAAAACTGCGCTAATTTTATCAAAAGGGAACCCGATATCTCTGAGCTACAGAAGCAAGCGAATCTCAGGCTTTCGATCCTCTCATCACTAGTGTGATGAAATGACAATTTGTCCTCCTTGGATTACTTGAAATAGTGATGTGCCTTCTAGTTAGTTTCATTAAGTTGCGTTCAGTTCTACAAACTGGTTCGTGGATAAACTACTTTATGCAACAATACCACAAAAAGTATATATACAGAAACAGAGCAGATATTCCAGTCTGTCAGTCGAGATAACGTAAAAACGATTCAAGTCATATCTTTTTACCGTTCCAATATGCAAATGTATTATCCCATCACTAACATTCTGAGACACTAATTTCAAATGTCAATTCGTCTTTGGTCTATTCTCCTTTTCTGTAGTCTATGTTTTGTGGTCACCTGTCACTTGTTGTTTTGAGCTTGTTGTATTTCTTCTGAAAAATGGATTTTCCGTATAAAAAGTGCTCCCTCCAATATCTTTCTTGTGCGGAATTACATATTACACTGTCGTGCAGTTAAATCTGCATAAAGCCCCAAATACGTGGTTATACTGGGTGTACCACGTACCATCACCGATGGTGCGACTGATTGTACACTGAAATCAAAACAAAGAATTACAACTGCAACTGAATGTATGAATGAAATCTTGAACAGTTTCGGACCAGTGGTGTCAAAGTATTCTTGAGGAATTAGAAAGAAGTGTGGTGAATGTGTTGAAACGCAACACCTGACAAACATTTAAGTGAAAAGGCTGTTTCATGTAAGAATCTGGAAGTGCAAGTTTGCAAATGTAGGATAAACCATTAACACCCAGTATGTGATGTTGAGTTAATATAATCACATATGGATTGCAAAGTTGCAATAAACATGGAGAAACTTTAAGCTTAATTGAACAAAATGGATTTTACTCAGCTATCGAGCATTTTTTTTTTAATTTTGGCTCAGTTTTATATAATTTTATAATATTTACGAGATAAACTGAAAACATTGCAATGGCAAGCTGTCACTTCATATTTTACAGTGTTTTGTTTTGAATACTTTGATGCCATTTGCTGCCAAAAATTTGACGGAGAGATCTTGAGGCTGATTGGGTATATTTGACGGACTGTTTAGTACTCGTACCCTATTTGTGCAGAATAATGGATTGTTAAATTGAAAAATCGGCCCTTAAGGAAACAAAGAATAATGTAAACAGGAGATTTGTAGTTACTGAAAAATATATTAAATTTTACCGAACGTACATAGCCATTCGTCTAGCAGCAGCAAAGGATCGCCGCGTGTTTTATGCATGGAAAATGTATCAATCAGGTTGTGAGTAAAAACCAGTTTTGTAAGGTACCCGAAACAGTGGCTAGTTTTCTTCAACTTGAAAATGCTAAGCTTTATATGGCCTGTATGTCATTCATTTCGAGGGTCATCTGCTACAGTTTTAGTTGAATCTGGGGGGGGGGGGACTTGATGAGACACCAAAGAAACATGGCGGTTGGATTTGCGACCAAGTACATCAACGGGAGTTGTGATGGCAGAAAAACATATAGTTTCAACACGAGAAAATTCGACTGTTGTACCGAATAGTTTAAGGAGCGTGTCATTCATCCAATGCACATTTAATAATTGTACTTTTGATATAAAGGAAATGTAACTTTATTGTTTAATAAAATATTCTAAAATTAAATACCTACCTTTGCTTATGTGTTTATGCAATATCCGTACTTATTTTTTTCCGGGGATAAAAGTAATTTCATAAAAAGTTACATTTTGTTACCTGTCAAGGGTGATAAAATGTCAAACCTTTTTCCCGAAACACAATAAAATATATGTCTACTTCATCTAGTCTCAGATACAAAAATTGCAACCGAGACGTATATTCTACGAATCAAAAAGAAGGATTTGCGATATTGTCGCCGCATCTTGCCACTGTCATTATGCCAAGGTACTGTTAAAGGTATTGTTAACCCAGGAAAATTAACGATTAACACGTTTGACCATAAAAGTGGTTAGAAATAAGCAGGGTTTTTCCCACAGCAGTCAAGTAGATTGAATATTTACTCGATGCTTGTTGAAGAATAGGGATCCTATATATTTGTTTACTTACCTGTAGGTTATACATGGTGTTTCACAGCTTATCCGACAAATTTTAACCACATATGCTCTGTTACGAAAGAAGTTGATTTCTAGCAAAAAATAATAAAAGTCCTACCGAAATCGAGATAATAAAATAATAATGTAAACCGTTGTCTTATTTTGGCCCACCACACCAGAAATTCATAAGTTATCATGGGCCAAGGGCTCAATCCCCATGTTTTGCCATGAGAGCGTCTGGTTAACATTAACCCGGCGTTGGTACGGTGGCGTTTACAAACATGAGTGGTACGGTGGGGTATGAGCATTCATTGAAAGAGAAATCCATCAAGGGTGCAATTTAGGTGTTGTAGGTTATTCCATTTCTGTTTTTTATCAAATTTATATGTGTAAAGGAGAATGTAAGAGACCATCGCATCAAAACTACGTTTTTTGGTGTTTCGATGAATATTCAAACATTTATTGGAATAGGTCAAAGTTTGACAATGTTAAAATACATACATTGCTATTATATTCTAAGAAATGAAAAAGTTACACTATACTAACACAATATCATGTATTATTTTTGTTTTGTTCAAAACATAATTCGCATGTTATCATAGAATGTTCTAAGCATACAAATTCTTTGCAGAGTGCACAACAGTAGAAAGATTTCCTGCCTTTAGAACGATCACATGTATAACATCGTTTTGACTTTCTTTGTTTTTTGCCAGGATGCTCACAATCAACGATATTTGCAGAAGTGGAAGCACCTGTAATTTCGTTCATTTCCTTTTCAGACATAAAGATATTCTGGGATTGTTTTGTCGATTTCTCATATGAGGCATAATCATTTTTAGTGCCAATTCTTTGATAAATTCGCGACGTTTGATAGGAGTTCCAACATTGGAAGGGTATACCACAAAAGCGTTGATTGATGCTGTATTCAATAACGAAAAAAATATGGTCAAGGGCCACCTTCTACTATTACGTGAAACATTATAGTTACTTGTAAGTTCATCTGCAACGTCGACACCACCTTTTGTCAAATTGTAGAACGTTATAATTTCTGGCTTTTTGTCATCTCCTGTGCTTTCGTCTATCATGTCTGAATGGTGTAGGCTCGAAAGAAGCAGAACATTTTTTCCTTTTTTGGGAACATATGAAACGAGCGTAGCATTTTTCTGAAATGCAAATATATATGATTTTTCCGCTCTATGTTTAGTCTGTAAAAACTGCACAGGAATTTCTTTTTATTTTTCCGTAGAGTACAGACCGAAGCTTATATTCTTGCAATAGTCTTGTCATAAGCGAATAGCTTGCAAACCAATTGTCGTAAGTTATATTGCGTCCAGACTTTTGAATCGGCTTACAAAGGTTGTAAAACTATATCCTCTGGTTTTTTACTTTGTTCAAATGGACCAGATGGCTGCTTGCCAACATAAACTTCTTGATTCAAGACGTAGAATGTTCGGGCATCTACCAATGCAAAGATCTGATTCCATATTTTGCCGGTTTGTTTGGGATAAACTGGCGAAAAGAACACCTGCCTCTAAATGCTCAAGCTTTTCGTCAACCTGTACGTATTCACTGGGAAGTATATACAGCGAGAGAGTTTTCCACAAACCTGTCAAAAATTGCTCTGATGGGTGCAAGCTTATCCAGCTGGCGCCTTTCTGGTCTTGTGCACTTCTGTCAAACCGTAAACACTGTAGCAACAAACTAAATCTTTTTTTACACATTGTTGACCTGATGATATCAACTCCCAAACCATCAGTAGACCATAGGTCGTCCAAATTTTGTCTTGCCGACTTTAAAACACCAGCTACATATAGAAGTCCAAAAATGCTTGAAGTTCTTCCAATGTTGTATGTTTTGTGAGATGTTGAGTATCAGGGCGACTATGGTTTTTTGCTTTTTCATTTAGCTTGTCAGTGGTATATTTTACAATATCAGAGAGCATTTGTTCCGTAAAAAAACATTTCCAAATCTGCAAGGGCTCTTTGATGTTTTTGAAATCTGTTTTTACTCCAGGTAAATGAGAAATTGTGTTTTCAGCTCTTGTCTTCACAGCTAAATTTCCACAAATTTTGCTCCATTTTGTAACTCCATCTTTTCCCATGTATGTATCATTTGATGTGCACGTTGTAGCCTCGGACAGATGAAGTATATCTTCCTCATCTATTTCTTGCTCTGTATCAGAATTTGTAGACCTTTCACTATTATTTTCTTCTGCTTGCGATCCAGATGCTGCTTCTTGTTCTAGCTGCTCATTTTCAGAGTCTTCTGCTCCTACTTCTTCCCATAGCTTCAATAACCTCTCTTGCTCTTTTTCCCAGTGCGACATACTAAAAATATACCTGAGGTAATTCAAATTAAATAAAATTACAAAAAAAGTCACCTTGGAAAATGAATGGAGCCACTAAAAATAAAAGTGTAGGGTGGGGTATGATTGAAAATTCTTATGTAGCGGTATCGGTACGGTGGGGGTATCACATGCACAATCGCAAAGTGAAGCACATAGCACGGGCGACGGTCATTCATCCACTGTTCCACTTCATGTTTCCGTGATTATTAAGGTCTTATCCGAAGATACACGAAATCTCGCGAAGCTGCTGGCCATTTATGATCTGTTATGACAAGGTAAAGTGCGTTGGGGTATATTATACCCCACGGTACCAACGCCGGGTTAAGGGCGAGTCCTTTGCTTTTCGAGCAGGCCATAGATCATTCTCTTTGATTGGCCAAATTTGCAATCATATTGCAAATCCTTTTCTCTGATTGGCCGAATTTACGTCTCAGTAGAAAATTTTGTAATCGGGGCCAAATGAAAGAATGGGCTTTTGTAGCTAAGTTAGTTGATGTATGAAGTATTTCAGGATTTAATATGAGAATTAGGGGCCCATCTTACACAAATCGCATCATGATCTAGTTTGAGAGACATTTCATAAGAAGTCGATTTCATTAGATCTATTTCCTCACAAACGCCCTCTCATTAGTCGAATTTGTGTGATAGTTGTAAAGTTTGCGCGTTGGACTAGTAAGATCGGGCCCTGAAAGCACCAATCCAATCAACATTAGCTCAATATGCTCAGACACCGATTCTGTAGTATCGCTATTAACCAAACCTTGATACACTTTCCCAAAGTAATACCTATTTTTTGCTCCGGGTGCTTAGAAAAGACGTAGTTCAATTTGCAAAGACCTGTCAGCTCCATGTATGAAAATAACGATGACACCATAGCATCGGTTCTCAAAAAGCAAGCACAAATGTGCCGGACTCCCTCTACCGATACGTCATAATTTGGACAATGGCAGACTTCCCTTAGCAGATTCAGATGATCAGTACAAAGCCAAAAAGCAAAAGATCTCTATCATTATAGAAACTATATGCTGTGGCCTCTTGCAAATTATAGTCGTGGATACTAGGATCGCAAACACTGTTATCTTTAACATGTTTTCGTTTATGCGAATTACTTAAAGATATTGTTCATCACGTAGGAAGCTACAGGTTGCCATCGCTATAGCGACTGTAGTAGCATGGCTTTGAAAGCATTTTGAAGATAATTCACCTGAACAGGTCATTCTTTTATAAGGCTCTAACTTGCATGTCACGTGCTTTGCTGATTGTTTTCCTGCAATACAAAAATGCTAATGCAGACACCAATCCAGTCAACATTATCTCACCATACTCCGACACCGATTCTTTGGTATCGCTATTTGCCAAGCCCAAACGCTTCTCTCAATGAATGATAGCTACTTCTTGCTGTCGGTGCTAATGAAGGCGGGCAGCTTTGTAAAAACATACATCCTCTCCTCGAATAAAGACAACGATGGCACCAATTTCCATAAAACAGGCACACGATGAGCCCGGTCCACGCTAGCAAACCGTCACAACTTAGGAGGACCATGGCATAATGTGCTTTGTAGGTTCAGACGTTATGTACAAAGGCAAGAGACAGAGGAAATACAATTTTGAATACACAACTCAATATTCATATCCACACATTACCAACCATCGAGTAGCGTAAAGAAACGGCTTGGCCAACTATTACCCAGAAAGGGAAAAGTAATTCAAGTTTAGAAGAAGCTGCTATAACTCTGGCAGCTGACGACTGAAGTGTATAAAAATTATGGTAATAGATATAGTAATACCAAACATGGTCAAGCTTCTAGTCTAATCATATTATCAAATTTCCCCGAAATAACGGTAAAGTCTGGTTTTGTTGGTGCAAGTTGTTCATGGGGGTATTTGAAGCACTAACGCATAAAGCGGGTACACCAATTTTTGTTGGAAAGCTTTTTGTTTGACGATAAAGCATGGGAAAACGTGTTTTTTGATATTCAATTGAAGGTGTTGACAGGAACGAAAACACTTTTTAAATATGATTTTTAGGTATTCATGAGACCTACAAAATAAGACCTCAAGTAAAAAGATGCGACTAATAGCAAAATTGTTATGGCCAAAAAGCGAGGCAAAATGCAGGTTTTGGCAATTGTTGGTTAATGCGACGATAGTTTCACGCAACTTCTTGAATTTTTTCAATCCGTAGGATTCATACTCCTAAATAGCAACAACAAAATTAAATTATATTGGTCAAGTAGTTTTTCTAATTGTTTATCCCAACACACATGTTTTCCTGCCACCACTACTAGTTTATCGAGCAATGTACAGGGTTCCTTCAAAGATCATTTACTAGCAAACAACACGTGTTTATCTTGTCGATGTGAATCACAAACCATCCCGGAAAATAAATGTTATCTCTATACGAAAAACAAAGAGTGCATTTTTTTCTTCTGAACAAATTCAGAATTACTTGTTTGTGAGTAATTGAACAAGTGCGCTACGATATTGGAAAAACATACGGTACTATATAGATTTTAAAGCAAGGCGGATGTGTCTGTCATCTTTTGTTGCCAATTACTCACAAATACGAAATGTTTGAATTTGCTTAGCAGAAAAAACGTTACCCAGCCTTTTCTGCATAAAAATAACATTTATCTTCCGGAATGGTTTGCGATTCAAATCGGTAAGGTAAACTAATGTATTTTGTTATAAAATCCTTTCTGAACTAACCTTGTACATTTCTCAATAAACTAGTAGTGATGGACGGAAAACAGGTGTTTTGGGACAAACAATTAGAAATTCTCAAAAACTACTTGACCAATCCTCTCCAGTTGTGTTATGGTCATTTAGAAGTACAATTCCTGCGAATTTGAAAAATTTCAAATATCTGCGAGTAACCATCGTCGCATTAGCAACAAGTGCCAAAACCTGCAGTTTGCCTCGGTTTTCGGCCATAACTTTGTTGCTATTAGTCGGATCTTTTTGTGTGGTCTCATTTTCTAGGCTTCATAAGTACCTAAATATTCTGTATTAAGAGTTTTTTCGTTTCTACCAACACCTTCAACTGAATCCCAAAAACACGTTTTCTCATTTTAGTTGTCAACTAATAAGTTTTCCCACAAAAATTCGTGTACCCATTTTATGCGTCCATGTTTTGAATACTTCCTTGAATAACTTGCAGCAATAAAACTAGACTTTACAATCATTTCGCAAACCAGGGTACTTTCGTCCAAGATATACAGGGTGTAAGCATGGTAGTGGTGATAGAGAGCCTCAAAACATATCCAATAAATCCCTACATGTGTGGTCCGAAATTTTATAGTGCAGGTGGTATTTGCAATTTTGTGAATTTTCGAAAAACACAGGATAAAGGACTTTCAATCGCAATTACAACTAGACCATTAGGTTAAGGGCTGCGATTTTTTAATGAGATGAGCTAAATTGTTAGTTTTAGCAGCGGTTATGTCACTTTTTAACCGAGCTAATTAGAAATCAACGCAAAAAATCTTGAATTCATTTTTTTGTGAAAAGTCTCTTTCATGCCTAAGCTTTAGAGGGCGGTAAAAAAGATGTATTTCATTATTCATTTCATTGTAAAAACTATTTCAATCCATGTAGAATAAACCGTGAAAATTTCAGCTTGCTACGATGAGTGTATCATTCGTCACATTCCTTGTTGTGATGCGATAAATCTTAAAAAATCAGTATGTTTGACACAGGTGGATATCTATACATGTAAACAAGAAATTCTTTTTTACGAGCTGAATTTTGACATATGAGTTACTGTTTGATTCGTCCAAGCAGTGCGAGTGATACTGTGTGTATTAACATTTTGTAAAATCAAAATGGCGGACTTTTCACGCAAATAGTCAAATCAGCCTAATGAATTTGGACATTTGACTCAGCATTCCAGGTGCGGGGGCGTTCAATCGTCGGTCCGACCGAAGTTACTAAGTCAGGCGATGGTCCAGCGCGGAATTTGTATCTAACGTTTAGCATCTGGGTTGAATCATGTCATGTTCTCCGCGATACTAGACAGAAATTCATAACTATTATTGTGCTGCGCTAGGAAATGCTTGAGTGGCTGTTCGCATGTATCGGGGGTATGTGGTTAGAAGAGGGGGACCACAACCGGTGGTATATCCCGACTATCAGGTTTTTCTACACATCCATAATGCAGCGCCGCATACTAGGCACTCATCGTCATCTAGGAGCGCCGGGGATACCCCCAGAAGAAATGGAAGATATAATAGCAGCAGCCGCGAGAGATCCCTCTATAAGCACCAGAGTCATTGCCCATAGCAGAATCATATCCCAGACTTCAGTGCACACAATACTGCGCTGGGAGAACATGCATCCTTACCATGTACAAAAAGTACAAGAATTGCTTCCAAGCGACTATGCATAACGGGTTGAATTTTGTGAGAATATGCTGAGAAGGTGCGAAGAGGATGAAACTTTTTTCGACAGCACCTTATGGACAGATGAATCCAACTTTAAGCGAAATGGAATATTCAACATGCACGACTCCGATTCATGGAGCATGAAAAATCCACACGCTATTCGCCGACACAGCTTTTAACGTCTGTTGGGCGTTAATTTATGGGCTGGACTACTCAACAAAAAATTAATTGGACCATATAAATTGCCCGCCAAGTTGAATGGTCAGTCATATTTTGCTTTCTACAAAGCAGTTCAATGCCATGGTGCCCCATGCCACTTTGCACGGGATGTACGGCATTACTTAGGCAGTGCCTGCCCTGGGCGTTGGGTAGGTAGAGGTGGACACATACGAGGGCCTCCAAGGTCACCCGATTTAAATCATCGAGGTTTTTTTTATAAGGGGGTTTTATAAGTCTACATCTGAACATACAAATGTCAACCAACTGCGCCAAAAAATTGATGAAGCAAAAGTAAATTATGGAAAATGCAATTTAATTTCAAAGACTAACGGACAATTTTATTAGAAGGTGTCGCTTGCGTATAGAAAATAATGGATGCCATTTCGAACATGTTCTTTAAAAACTAGTTAAATTAATTATCTTCCACATTTGTCGGTATTCTACATGGATTGAAATGGTTTTACAATAAATTAAATAATTAAATACAACAAGGTTGAGGAATGAAAGATTTTTACAAAAAAATGAATTCAAGATTCCTTGCGTTGCTTTCTAATAAGCTCTGTTAAAAAGTGACATAACTAATTATTTAGCTCATTTCAGTAAAAAGTCTCAGTCCTAAGGTTTAGGTTTAGTTGTAGTTCATTATCCCATTTTTTCGAAATTTCACAAAATTGC